CTTCGACCATCTTACTACAATAAACCCTCAAATGGATCATGGGGCACTTGATTCCCGTGTATTTAGGGAAATTTGGCACTTTAAACTTCCTTGGGATTATTATATCCGGCACCAAACACATCTCGAAGCCCCGATAGGATCATAGGGGTCTTCCCCTCCACTCGCTCTTAAGCGTTCTTCGAGGGCCATCAATCTGTCCATGCTCGATCCTTCGACTATCTTATGACCATAAGTTGCCTCTTCCGTAGGATCCACGAGTAGGCATTGGTGGAACTCGAGGGTCCATCGGATAGGCATATGCTCCGATTGGATGTGAAGCTTCAACATGGAAGTCGTTCGAGGGGCCGTTGGTTCGGATTAATTGCGTAATGGAACATCATGTGGCATTTCAAACTGTTCCCATCCCACATTCAAGCTACTTCCCCTTATTTCCGTAGTAAAGCCTTCATTCGAGCCATCTCTTCTCTCAATGACTCAAACTCTTGTTGTCGAATTTCTTCCCGTCGTGCTCTCTCTTCGTTCTCCATTTGGCGAGTCCTTAATTTGGTGTCGTGGACACGCAGAGGGATTGAGTGGAGCGACCTATGTTTAGTTCCCGAATAGATGACAATATATACAATAAATATAAAATGCAAATGCATGACCCGAACCGGGTTGAATACCTTTCTTTATTTGTTGCACATTAAATCATGATAGAGTTCTCATCAAGGATGGGCCGGATCAAGCTAGTACTCGCCGAGGGTGATAATTACCCCACGTATACTTGGGCGATTAGGGAGACATATATGCCCCCAACTTCAATCATGACATGTTCATACATAAGATAAGCCTTTGATTGCAACACCGAGACTTGGAACCGTTTGCCTTGAAAAACACATCCATGCTAAACTCATACTTTATTGAAAAACAAAGATTCTTATTACAATTTGAAAAATTAAAATTTCAAACTTTGGCACATTCTAAATGTGACTTTAAAGGAAATTACAATAAAGAAAATGAACTTAGTACATATGAAACCCTATTCTAAGTTCGGCCACAACCTCAAGCCTTCATAGGAGACCATGCCATTGATGAGCCTTCGGAGTTTCTCATAGAAAAGTTGAACTTGTTCATCTCTCGGACGTATACCATCAACTAAGAGCCCTATGGTGTTTTGCATCCCCAAAGCATAATCCTTGGCATTCCGAGCTTGTAAATGGTACTTCATGGCCCTACTCCCCCACTCAACCGCTTCTTTTCTCAAAGCATCTATCTCTTTTGTCATTACTCATCTAACCGTGAGGTGTTCTTCTCTAGATCCGGCGAGTCGATCCCGGTTGACCCTATCCTTTTCTTTTAATTCTTCCACACGAGTATTCAAATTACGTATTATGTCCGATTGATTTGTAAGTCGTTCTCGTGTGGTATTTTTGAATTCCTCAAGGCTATCTTTCTCATCTCTAAGCCTATCAACAACTCCTTTTGTCAATTGGAGTTGGCTACGAAGCTTCTTATTTTCTTCCTTCAAAGCTTTCATCATATCATCTTTAATGTTCGAATTTCCTCCAACTTCCTCTTCTTTTGAGTTAGTTCAACCACTTGAGCATTTAGGCCCTCATTGAGCATCTCATGTCGGGCATTCATTTCTTGATGAACATCCTTCATTGTCTCATTAATCAATCGAGATGGGCCTTCGAATGGTGGTACACGATATCCTTTCCTCTAGCCGCTTTGCCATTTTGGATATCCGAGTGAAGTCCTTCCATCCACTATTCTTTCGGGGTGACTATCCCTCTATTTCTCCAAGCAACCTTAGCTTTCTCTAACAAATTCTTAGAAACCCTCAAGTCTTCGTAAAACTCATTTAGACCGCTCGTTCTTGGGATGAACTCCTCGAACCCTAACTGTCTTAGAAACATATTTGGACAATGAGCTGATGCAACAACGAGCTCTAATTAGTGGCACCTATGCAAAATTGCCACAAAAGGCCGTGTAGCTCCGGAAAAAGCATACCGTGCTCTCCAATGAAATTCCGACTTCTCTAAACCGAAGAATAACTCAGCCCACATTGTCTTGCCCAACTCATTGAGGGCGTGACAAGCAAAATTTTCTAACTTAGAATGCGGATGCCATGGGGTGCGAAAGATGCCGGAGGCTTCACCGATCACTACATGGCTTACGATCCATACAAACAATAGCTGGACACAACACCTCAAATGTCCACCTCCTTTCTTTCGACGAAGTTTAATGAGGAGAGTGTTTCCGCAAAGATTGCTGCAAGCGAGGTTAACTTTGAGAGATACCACACTCATAAATACATTGACAACCTCTACGTCGATCATGCCTTCGGCCGATGGAAATAATACTAGCCCATATATTGCTAATGCCAAAATTTGAAGCCTAAGTCGGTTATCAAGATCTTGCAAATGCTTCATGAACTCGCTCGGAGAATGTCCCAAAACCAACCTTGAGATTTACCCTCGTAGTTAGTCGATTCTTGGCCGGGGTGGTATTAACTCCAATCAACCATGCAAAATTTGATGGACCATGATCGAGCGAACCGTAGAATTAGACGACTTTTGTTTCAGAAATGCTAGCGAGCCTCATATTCTTCGAGTGTAGGTGATAGGTCTACACTTCCAAAAGTGAAACAACGATAATCCGAGTCCCAATGTTCTATCATAGCTTGGAAGCATGCGGTCTAAGCCTTGATCTCGATCGGATAAGCTATGTCTCCATATGCTTTTTGGAAATCGATTTGTCTCTAGGAGTGAGCATTTCCCAATAACCGAGAAGCGGACTAGTGTTGACCATTTTGTCGACCAATTTGACCCTTTCCGGTAGGGTCGACATAAAATTCGAGGGCGGACAATCTCCTTCATCACTTTGGCCCCGCTCGGATCCGACCCTAAAATCCTCAACCTCGTTTCGATTTCTTCCGTCATGATTTAATACGAAGGATAACTCCGTAAAACTAAGGGTTAGTATCGACAGCATTTGATATTGATTCGTGTTTTAATTGGGTTAACCCTAATAGACAAGATCTAGCTTTTCTATGATTAGGTACAAAGCTTGACTAGTCCTAAAAATTTTTCAAGTTTCGGATCGCCTAAATTACCGAGTGGGGTAATCAAGCCTCTAACCTTATACAGCGGAGGTACGAGAACTTTATTCCACCATTTCCAATGTATAGGGTGAGTTTCGGTCCAAACGAGAGTCCGAAAGAGCATCAATAGACTTTCGTCATACCGGCCTCCAAATCCCTCTATCTAATTCCTATTAGGGTTGAGCTCGGCTCCGCAGCTTTTATAGGTTTCCTTTGTGGTGTGTGCAACAATTTATAGAAAAAATACACAACCCAGTTCAAACAAAATAAAATAAAATAAAATAAACGTGCGATACTAAAATAAATTACAACAAATAAAATATGTACAAAAAATAAAATAAAATAAAATAAAATTCAGAAAATAAACCGACAAAAATAAATATAGGAGATAGATTAAGAAGCTAATCCTATGGCCTAACTTAAAAGTTCCCCAGTGGAGTCGCCATTCCGTCGTTACCCGACATCGGACGGGACTCCAAAAATTAAAATTGCTATACATGATTGATATTTACAAGTTTATTTACGTAGCTTTGGAGTCGCCACCTAGTATTAAGGAACTAGGAACCTAAAAATAACACTCGGTCTAGAGATTCTATGGTAAGCGAGTTGGTTACACTTTTAGGAAGATAATTATTCACCCTAAAAATGCCCTTTCCGAAGAAAGGTACCACATCTTGTTCTAGTCCTAAATTTATCTCCTACAATGTTCATTTATGCCAATTTATTTTCTAATTTTTAAACAATTATTTTAGCAAAATTTGATTTTTAGTTTTGAGCGTGGCATCGTATTGAAGCGATCGTCTGGTCCCCTTCATAGGGCGACACGTCGGTCCAAACATCGGATCCACTTACGACCTTGACACAACCGGTGTGTCGGACGATGTCTTGATTAAAAGGTGATTTTTTTTGTGACATCAGCCCCTATCAAATAGGAGGCTTCGCCAAAAAAAATTTTTTGCATTTTTTTTGTGACGTCGATCCCTATCGGGTAGGAGACTTCGTAAAAAATATATATATATATATATATAATTTTCTAGTAATACATATTAAAGAAAAGAAGAAAAAAATTGAAATAAAAATTCTAAATTAATAAAGAAAACTACAAGAAAATAAAATAAACAGGCAAATAATAATAATAATAATAATAATTTAAATGAACAAAATAAAATAAATAAATAAATCATCCTATATAAGCAGGTAATAATAATAATAATAATAAATGACAAGAAAGGTAAAAAAAAATCCTATACCTAAAGTATTAATCTACCACTTTTACTTCTTTTTTTTTTTTTACCCATCCCCATTTTCTTTTTTCTTCTTATTTTTTTTCTAACTCTTTTTTTTATTTTTCATTTCCCTTTTTATTTATTTATTTTTTTGGGGCCTAAAGGGCTCGGGCTGGGCTGGACTGAGAATGGCCCAGCCCTCTTTTTTTTTTTTTTTTTGCAGGGGCGCGCGGGCCGGGCTGGACCAAGAATGGCCCAGCCCCTCTTTTTTTTTTTTTTGGGCTTAAGCAACTAACAAGCCCGAATAAGAAAAACTCAGAGAAATGGATTTAACAACCCTCACACATTTTCTCTCTCGTGTTCATGTTGTCTCTCTCTCCTGTTCTTCCTCTTTTTTTTTTTTTTTGAATTTTGCTTTTTTTTTGAACTGTCAATAACTTCTTAATTCATTTTCCATTACCCCATCATATCACATACACTCAAATATAAACACTTATATACTAAATAAATAAAAAAATGAATGGCAGCAGTAAAAGAAAATTAGCTGGAAAAATACAAAAGAGAATGAACTGACCAAGAATCTCTGAAAAGAATTGTTATTGATTCGTGAGGATAAAAGGAAACGTTCTAAGATGATATCTAGATGCCAGGGAAGTCTTTAACTGAAGTAAGATGTCTGAATTGATTCCTCAATTAATCCCAGCAGATGCAGCAGTATGAACACGAACCCAGAAATTCAAGAACTCCTTCAACGCCTGCCCAGAATTATGAAGAAGGAAAATCGCATAACCAGAATCGTAGCCTTCACACGAGTAATATTGATTAGGGATTGTAGAAAGATAGTAATGCACCCAAAAAAGATTAAAATCGATGGAGAAACAAATCCAATTATGGATAATATAAAACCCAGCGATGAAGAACACCAAGAACAAATTTGCAGAAAACCCAGAAAACGCAACCAATATTTTTTAAGTATTTTGATTTTTTTTTCAAAATAGAATCCTCCCTCTTTCTTTCTCGCCCTCTTTTCCCTCTGAAAAAAAAAAAAAAAACAAAATCCACCTCCCTTTAGCCTTCAATTCTAACCTCTTTTATAGGCACTCCCATTTGAATTCTACTCCAACTCAAACACTTTCAAATTCAGATTTTTACCTAACCTATTTGAACTCAAAATCTTGTTATTGATTTCGAATTTGACTAACTAAATAATCGGGATAAATCAAATTTGAAGAAATCCAAAAACGGTTAGAGGATTAGGATAACTTTCAATCAAATTTTGGAGGGAATCAGGAGTGAAATTCTGGGCTAGAGTGAACGACATGTCATTCGTTCGACTTTAGTCCTGTCATTCACTCCGAGCTTCCACTTTGGTCCCTGAAAATTTTAATTATTTGCAATCATGCCTATTTGGCGCAATTTCAGTCATGTAAGGAATATTTTTTTCGATTTGGTCCCCACAAATTAACAATTCAGTTATTGAATTTCTTTAACCGATTTAATTATGCCCTTGAAGATTTTGTATATATTTTTTTCTCTTTTTTTTCTTCTTTTTTTCCAAAAATAAAATAAAATAAAAATAAAATGAAATAAACTAGAAATAAAGAAATAAACATTTCAAAAATAAAAGCTATTATTATAATTTTTTTATTTTTTTATTTTTTTATTTTTTTTGGTTATGACAAAGTGTTTCATATTTTCATGCTAAAAAATATGTACACGACCCATCTCATATCTTAGAATTATAAATAGTGGAATTAAGTTCGATTTATCATATGGGGAGCAATCGAGTGGTTGTAGTAAATCTTCACGTTAAGAAATTATGAAATAAGGAGATTGTGTCCATCAAGGTCATTTGGAGGAACCATTTGATCGAAGAACTTATTTAGGAGGCCGAGGATAAAATGAAGAGGAAGGATCCTCATTTGTTCATCTACTAAAGTTTGAGTAGACTCAAAATTTGAAAATGAATTTTCTTCGATAGGGGATAATGTAATAACCTAAAAAAAAAAAAAGAATTTTGGAATCGGTATAAATAGAGGCGATGACTCGTCCCTTTCTAAAAATTTATCTCTTCTCATCTCCCTCTTCACTCACATTTCTCCCATTGTCTCCCAATTTCCTTCCTCAATTTCTAAGTAATTCATTATTAAATTAGCTTAAGAAAACCATAAATTAGAAGATTTAAGTGGAGTTTAGCTAGCTTGGAGCTTGGAAAGATTAGAGAGCTAGAATTGATTTAGGATTTGAAGAGCAAAGTGTGAAGGTAAGAGTTATGATTAATTAATCTTTGAATTGAGATGTTTATGTGTGGTTGATGATGGTATTGAAATGCAATTACTTTGGGTTTGTTGAATGCTTGAGGAATTGATTAGAATAAGATTACAGCTTCTTGAGACCCATTTGGGAAAAGTGATTCTAGGTGATTGTAATGACTTGAATGATGTTTAATTATCTTGAGTAAGTGAATTAAGAAGTTAAGAAGTTAATTTAAAGTAAAACCGAAGTAAAATTGAGTGAATTTGAAATATTGAAAGGTTAAAGATAATGAATAGTGATAAATTCAAAAATTGAGAAAATGAGGAATTAAGCTATGAAAATGCAATTAAAGGTTAATAGAATGAGTATTGGATGAATTAAGATGGAATTGATTATCTAATTAAGTATTGATTGATTAAAGGCTTGAATTGGAAATTTATGATTTCATTACGGATTGGTGATAATGGGATTTAGTTAAGTAATGGATTAGAATTATTTGAGAGACCATAAAGTCTAGTTCTTCCGACCAATTATATTTTGTTGATCACCTTGTATTCTTGTTTCAAGAATAATTCATTTTTTTGAGTTATTATTTGATGTACAATATTGATAGATTTTTCATCATTTTCTCGATGCTAGATTCTTCAAAGCGAGTGACTTCATCTTAACCATCTTGACCATTCAAATTTGTTCGATCCATCATCCGTACTCGTGAGTGAATATTATTTAATGTACTCGTGTTTTAAATTCCTTGATTATGTTCATCATGGATCATTGATTTAAGAATGATTTAGAAACATTTTAGTAGAACTTAGATGGGAACGAACTTTATAATATTTAAAATGTTTTCGTATCAAAATGATTATATGTGAATTGAAAATGGATTTGAATGTGTTATATTCATTATTTTGAGTATCCGTATAATTTCTGAAAAAACATGCATGATATTTGAAGTACGAGTTTGAAAAATATATAAATATGCTTAGTTTTTGAAAAATGTTTTTAAAACCTTGAAGAACCTAGCTATCGCGATGGGGGAGGGGTAACCTTTCGGCTTAATGATACGAGACTCTAGTTACCGGGAGAGGTAGAGTGTTAGCCTATGTGTTGACCAACATATGAAAACCTAGTCATGGAGAGCGTGACCTTTGGGTGTTTGCATCCAATGATACGTTATTACCCCACGAGTGTATAAAAACTTATATATGAGATTTCATATGAATACGATATATGTATGATAAGTATTTCAACAATTTGATATGAAATGATTTTGATTTATGATATACGATGTGTTTTACGATATGCATATTTCTTGAAGAAATAAACATTGCATTTTGAGATGAATTTGAAAGTATCGTCCTTAGTCTATTTTCCTTCACTTGATATGTTATATAATGTCTACTCACTACGCTATTGATTGCTCACCCCTCATTATTTCGGTCTTATAGGGTATTAAAGGATTGCTCATTGCTTCCTTTTAGCTACTTGATTCGAAGTCGGCACTTTGATCGGGCGACTTGATTTAATCGTAATTTTCTAGAACCTATGTTGTTTTAAATGTAAATTTTAGATGCTCTACACTTATAGTTGTGGGTAATGTATCGAAATTGATTACAAATATTGAATTATGAATTGTATTGGGGTTGTAAGAAATGTTCAATATGTTGGGCTAATATTAAATGAGATGATACTTGAGTGATATAGTTGTGGCTAATGTTTAATGGATTAGAATTACGGGACTAATTACGAATATTGATATGCTTGGGTCGAGGTGGGTCTCATAGTTTTTTCGATTCTTGTATCGATCATGACTCACTCCTAGAGTTGTAACATGACTAGTATTCATGCCTTATTTTTTAGATTATAAAAAAAAAAAAAAAAAAGAAATTGATTTGATAGACTTGAAGTAGAGTATGCTAAAAAAGGTCATTTATTACTTATTTCGACCTTTATTAGTAAGTCGAAGCGATTAATTTTAAATAATCTAATTTCTTCAACTCATATTTGACTATTTAAATATGGATGATGTGATATAATTTTAACTATCAAGAGCTATTCTCATTTCATTATAAATATCAATCTTACATCATTGTGAGGTTATTCTAACTTTTGGATTTTTAGTAAAACTCTCTCTCTCTCTCTCTCTCTCTCTCTCTCTCTCTCTCTCTCTCTATATCTATATATATATATATATATATATATATATATATATATATTTTTTTTTTTTTTTTTTTTTTTTTTTTTCAAAACACACTAGATATCACCTACCTAAAATTCTATAGCTCTATCAGGTTGGATTTGAGACTCTACTTTCTTATTATTCAATTTATGTCTTTCTAGTATATCATGTTTTCCCTTGCACCTTTCTATTTGTACTAATTTATTTGATTGGTAGCCGTTCTTTTTGTGTTTATTGAACAGTGATTTGATTACTTATCAAACACCTCTCTTTCACGGGTTCTCATCGTCCTTGCCATAAAGGTTGCTGTTAGCTGTTGCAGAGAAACAAGTTTTTTTACAAATTCTAGTGTCGGCATGATCCGCTGGCCAAGTTGGGCCAGTTTGGTTAGATTCTTGACAGCTAATTGGCCTATTGAATGGGCCAGACGAACTTAGCTGAATATAACCAACCCTATCAGTATTCAAATCGAGCATGGATTTCCTGCTGGGTTGTATTGAATAAAAAATGAGTCCTGATGGCCGTGCTTGCAGGGCAGGGATAAGCATCAAAAGCCAGTGATTAATTAATTGCCCATGGAGAGGCGCAATAGCTAAATGCTAAGCTCCTTTGTCTGTGGGTCATAAAAGGCAAAGCGTAGCGTATGAAATTGTGTACACATTCCTCAATAACGGCTACTTAACAGAGGTGAACATCAGCCACAGTTGTCCACTTTTAAAACTTAAAGCAATTTCCAAGTTCCAATTCCTTATGGAGGTTGCTAATGTGACGAGTGGCAACTAAACTTGCATCATGGATCCAATTACTACTAATTGATTATTTATTTATTAACAAATTTCAATTTAGCAACAATTCATTGGCTAGATAAATTAACTGTTCAAGTCATTTGAACTGATCACAAACGCACTAACTTTTGAAAATTATTTTTCTAGAATAAAGTGCTAATTTTACTCATTATTCTTTTCAAGAAAATCTAATGCATTGAATGGATGAATCAATTCTACATATTTTATTAATTGACCCCACCCCATAAATCAAATATTGTAATTTTTTTTTTTTTTTGGTAGAGACTTGAAAGTTGTAAACACATATTCGAAACCGAATTTATTTGCATTTAAAAAGTAAATTAAAAAAAAATTCAATCGTTATTGTATAACTCATTATGGGTTCTAACTCATTTGCATGGCTTCTCATATCAAATAAAAGATAAAATTATGTATTTAATTCTTACCTAATGACAGAAAATGAACTTGTTTATACTTCAAATGATCAAAACTAATTTTTATCTTTGTTGTGATGGTAAGATTAATTCTCTGAATCTCCTTAGAGAGAAGAGTTTAGAATATTCAATGCCCTTGGCGTTGGGCTACCTAATACCTTCCAATAAAACCTTTTTATTTATTTTAATTTTGTTTGGCTCGGATTTGCGAAAGAAAGCTGCTCCCCTAGCCGGCACGTCCCTCACAGACAGCAAAAGACGTGGCCGCAACATCAGCCGGAGTTTGTGCTCCCATTCGCAAAGGGGATATGTCTTCACATGCAGATTGATTGCTCTTCTATAATTCAACTTGCTCTCCAATCAGTGTCGCCATCTACTCCAAAACACCAATCAACATTTCATACTTTTTCATCCTGTTTTTGTATTCTTTCCTCATGCCCTTAGTGGACCCCTCCCATGCTATAATCTTCCACAACCCACCGTAACAAGTTGTCGAATTTTTGTTGGAGCTGACCATGATCATGATTTGACGAGGAAGTAAAAAGTTGGCGTTACACTTTTTTATTTTTTTATTTTTTTATTATTTATAGCGGATTAATGACAAATTTGAATTGCCAAAACTTTTATTTGGTAATTTAAATCTTAAAATATTAAAAACTGGATAAATATATATTTAAGTTATTCAATCTTTTTTATATTAATTAATTTGTTACTTAGAATATCAAAATATTTTATTGTTAATTATGTTTTTTTAAAAAATATTTTTAACCCCCTAATCTTAAATTTTTTTTAAAAAAATTCTTATAAAATATTATAAATAAAAAATATTTTTAAAAATTTTTAACCACTTTTTTATAAAATATTATAAATATTTTTATATAATTTATAAAATTAGGAGGTCAATCCTTAATTATGCTCATTTTAATTTATAAAATATTTTTTAAAGCCCGAAATTATGTATTATTAATTATGTTTTTTTACAATAACATTTTATAAAAAAAATAATTAGAAATTAGGAGGTTAAAATATTTATAAAATTTTTTTTATATAATTTATTAAGAAAACAAGTTTAAAAAAAATTCAAGATTAAAAGGGTTAAAAATATTTTTTTAAAAACATAATTATGAAAAAGGAATGTCAAAACGATAACGTTTTGAAATTTCAAGTAATGGTCGATCCAGATTGACCATTACACATAACGAAAATTAAACAATTTAGATCATATTTATTTAATCTCTAATATTTCAAAATTCAAATTACACAATTCGATATTACGTATGAGTTCAAAATTATCAAATCGTAATAGAATGAGGCAAAATTTATTATTAAACTTATTTATAACTAAATCCACACCTTTTGTAACGCCCCACCCTGATCATATTTGTACTACCCAAGTAGAGTACTGGACGAAGCGCGTTACGCCGACATACCCTAAACTCTAAGTAGTTTTCTTATGATATTCTTAGGACTTTAACAATACATTACGTATATAACTCCTTAAGATAAAATTTACATAACATAATTAAATACATTAATAAAACATTACGGGCGATATTCAATTTCTCACGAACTCCATACCCCAAATTTACGGACAAAATAAAAACTAATAAATAGTGCCTCACATGAGCCGGTTAGGAGGAGCCGACCACATCCGTACCAACTCGTCCTTTTTCCGTCAAGACATAAAAAAAATAACAACGAGGTGAGCCGAGGCTCGGCAAGGTGAGGTGATGCACGTGATATGCAATGTTGTTTTGACTTCCCACCATACTCATAAATTTTAATCTCGGTACCACGGGTATTAGCCAGCCTACTCTATTTATCATCCGGTGGTCCGCGGATCACCTTCTCGCTACAACGGAATTATCCCTCGTTGTAACTACCGTTAGCGAGAATCCATCGTCTAACAGTAAGCACACGCTTGATTTCATCCGGATGATCCTCGGATCATCTTCTCGCTACAACGGAATTATCCCTCGTTGTAACTACTATTAGCGTAAATCGATCGTCTAATAGTGCAGGCACACATCCTAGAGTACTCGGACTACTAATACTCATTTATTCCAGCTTAGGTTATCAAACCTAGATGTATAAACCATTTTCAATCAATTGACTTGTCTTAAACCACCCACTATGCACATGATGCACGTGATGACATATTTAATCACATTCAACCAAATTCGGGTATCAACCCTTCATTCTCATGCCATACTCATGGTCCAACCCACAATCGAAATTTATTCATTTCTCACATACCAATCCCGATACCCACAACGGGAACACAATCTCCGCTCATCAATATTGTTCATTAGTTTCATTAATATTTAAAAGAAGGTCCAAGTCCATTTACTTTAATTAGAGCCCATTAAATTTATCCTAGGCCCATTGACTCTATTTAATTCCATTTTATTTAGTCCAAGCTCATTTAGTTTATTCCAAACCTATTAATTTTGTCGAAGTCTATTTTTTTTGTTTTAGGGTTTATTACCGGGCAACTCCTAATCGAGTAAATAATTTTCTAATTTCAAAAAAAATTAAATCTTACTTATTTTATTTTAGATACTAGACATATTTATTTATAACATATCCAAAAATTAGGTCTAAATACCAATTACACAATTAATTATAAATTTTTGAAACTTAGGGAGCAATCTGCCTAATAGTGGTTTATCTAGAGCTATCCATACTAAATCGGGTATAACTCCTTGTACACGAATCCAATGACCAAGAAATTTTAAAGGGAGTTAGTTTAAACATAGATGAACAACTTTTATGCTTTAAGTTTCACCTAGAAATCGATCTAAAATCCTTGAATATACACCCCAAAATTCGGACAGAATTGACTCCTTATTAACACTAATTTATTAGTTCATTCCAATCCAACTTTAAACATGTTTTAGTTCACTTAAATTTGGTCCAAGTTCAATCCAACCCATCACCACATACTTGGACATTTTCAAAGCAACATAACATCATAAATCATCACAACAAGGCATCCATACATAGATTTATTCTAAGCATCAAGCATATAACCATTGAAAATTATTACAACCCATGAAATAAACACTAACAAAATAACTTAAAAAAAATAATTTAAGACATTAATCAACCAAAATAAATGAAACCTACTTACCTCTTTTAAGTTTGATTAGAATTTCTTTAGCTCTTTTTCTTTCCTTTTTCCCTTTTCTTTCTTTTTTCTTTCTTTCTCTCTTTTTGCTGTTTTTCTCTCTTCAATTTGGCTTCTCTTTTGAATTCGGATGGCTATGATTTTTGACCTAAAAATGGCAGCCATTTAACCCTCTCTTTCCCTTATATACCCACCTTTTATCCTCACATTTATTTATATCATAAGTGTTAAAATTTAATTAGGCCAAATGTAAAGTGGAGGAAGCTTGGAAGGCAAAGCTGGCATGTTTTGGAAGTCAAAGGTGATGATTTGGCTTCTAAGCATTTAATTCAAGTGCTTAGGTGGCTAAAGAAAAGTTAGGATAAATAAAAAAAACATTAGTAAGCTGGGTTAATGTAATTAGACAAATTTCTTTCATCAATAATTCAGAAATTCCATTTTTAAAATTCGGAATTTCTTTTCCCCCAAAATTCCAGCAGTGTTTCCTCCTAATCCATCTATACTAAAATGTGCATAACTCTTTCTATATGTATCCAACATTTATAAAATTTTATATAGAGCTAGTAAACACATAGACAAACAACTTTTATTCTTTACGTTTTTCTCAAAAATCATTCTAACAGCATCAAATAAATCTCAAAAGATTCGGGCAGATTCTTCTCTCAAAATTCTAGCAGAATGCATTTCGAAACAACCCTCACTATAATTGGTATAACTCTTAATGTATAAGTCCAAATATTATAAAATTTTATACAGGCATATTAAACACATAGATGAACAACTTTTATTCTTTACGGTTGACCCAAAAATTACTCTAAAGTTCTCAAATAATTCACACAAAACTCGGGCAGAATATAGTCCTTAAAACACTGATTTTGCATATTTGATTTCTTTAATAATTAAACCATTAATCTTAAGTACAATAACTTTAATTTAACATAAATCACATATTTCAAGCATTAATTTCTCATGATGAAATGAGAATTATACTTACTCTTAATATACATATATATAGAATTATTCTAATACACGTCGCATTATGGATAAATGTTTTTACGGGGGTTACACCTTTTCTTTTTATGGAAAAATGAAAGTATCTCGAATCATTTTTGTTTTAATTTTTTTTGAGATCGAGATGTTGTGATGGTTTTTATTGGCTAAAAATTGAAAGTTCGAAATGTTTACATACAATATGAATACATAATTTACTAATTTTAAATTTTAGATTAAAATGATGTCTATTTTTACATATGATAAACATTTAGGTCTAAATGATTTTTAAATGCAGATTTCTTTCAATATTTTTATATATTAAAATTAATTTTTATAAAGCAAAATTTAAATAGAATATTTATATTTAAAATGATGAATATTTATTGTAAAAAATATCATAATCAAGATTTTTTATTAATATAAATACATTCTCGAACAAAAAAAAAAAAAATAGTATCTGTTGTATATATATTTAATGAATTCAAGGCTATAAACCTTAGGAATTCAAAATGGAAAGAGAGGGCAACCTTCCATAAATACAACGGATCTTTCTCCCACCCAAAAACATCTTTCTTTTCCATTAATCCCAAAGCACTAAAAACAAAATCCAAAAACATTAGAAAAAAATAATAAATAAATAAACCTTTCAAATACCGATCTTTGAATTTCAATTCCTGGATGCTGAAAAAAAAAACAAAAAAACAAAAGCAAAAACAGCGAAAACAGCTTCCTCAGAGCTGTACAAAACCAAACATCCCTTCACGCGTTTGCCCTCTTTCACTTCACCTTCTTTCTCTCTGCCTTTGAAATACTCTTTATAAACATAAAAGAAAATCAAATCTTTGTTTCTCCTCGCAGAAAACCTCCAAAACAAAATGCTGTCTTTAACCTTAAATCTCCTCTTTTTCTTCCTTTTTACAACAATACCCTTCACCATCTCTCAAACAACAACACCAGAAGCACCGGCACCAGCATCCAGCAATTGCAATGGCATCTTCTTATCATACCAGTATAATGATGGATCAAAAATAAAACCAACAGACCCCACCCACCAACCTTACAGATTTGAATCAACACTAACTGTACAAAACAACGGTCTTGATGCACTTAAAGCATGGAAAGTTTTTGTGGGTTTCCAAAATGATGAGCTTTTAGTTTCTGCTTCTAACGCTGTTCTTGCTGATGGTACTGCTTTTCCTGCTGCTGTTGGAAATGGTACTATTTTTGCTGGCTTTCCAATGACTGATTTGAAAACTGCTATTGAAACTGCTGGTGATGACACTCAAACAAGTGTTCAGGTTAAGTTTTTAGGGACTCAGTTTGGTGTTCCTTTGAAGGATGTGCCCTGGCCTTCTGATATTTCTCTTGCTAATGATGGCTTTGTTTGCCCTGCCGCTTCTAAAGAAGGTCAGTTGTTTTTCGGAAAGTTTTCATCTTTTAGGTGTTTTTGATTGCTATGTGTTTTTTTTTTCGATATTGTGATGTGAGTTTTTTATTTTTTAAAAGAGTTTGATGTTTTATTTGGTGGGATTTTTGGTGTTAATTCTTTTGATGTTATTGGATCCATTATTAACTTCTCTTTTAAAAATTGGATCTTGTATTCTTGGAAGATATGTAAGGATTACATGGGTTGACAAATATATATATATATATATATATATATATATATATATATATATATTTGCAATAATTATGAATTAATTGAATAAAATTCTTGATCTAAAGTGCAAGACTTATGCTTTATATATGGCGGAAACTTATGCTATATATATGGCGGAAATGGTGGTTGTATTGTTACTAAGGTTGTTGAAGTGCTGTCAAAGTCACTTCTTAGTGTATCCATTTAATTTTTGGGGCTGACCACGAACACCACTAGCTTATTTTATGAGATAAAGTCTTCTTTTTGTTCAAATGTAGGTGCTCATTGATGTAAAGTTGGTTTATGAAATGAAAACCAACCATTTGCTGACTTGCAATTTGGGAAATTTCCTTCATCATGTTGAGTCAATATTGTTTGGACAAAATGAAATCAGGCACAGTATAGATTGTTACAAGCTTTGGAATTTGTTATTTGTGAGATCATCTTCTTTTTCATTCATCTGATAGCTACTTCCATATCCTTATACAATTGTCAGAATTACAAGATCACATCCGAATTGGGAAATTTATATATGTTTTTACATCTGCTGATGGACATCTTTTTTGGTTTTTGCAGGAAGTGTCATGTATGTTTGCTGTAATAGAGACCCTAAATTTAAAACAAACATCACTATAGATGAAGAGTTCCTTCCCCGCCAGAATGGTGATCTTACGATTATGTATGATGTGATTAGAACATACGATTCTAGTTATTGGGCACAAGTTTCTATTGCAAACCATAATCCCCTTGGTCGTCTTGATAACTGGAAATTGAGCTGGGACTGGATGAAGGATGAATTTATCTATTCCATGAAAGGGGCTTATCCTTACATTGCTGATTCAACTGACTGCATATTTGGCACTCAAGGTAAATACTACAAGGACCTAGACTTTTCCAATGTATTGAACTGTGAGAGAAGGCCAACACTAGTTGATTTGCCTCCAACAAAGGCCAATGACACAACCCTTGGATTGATCCCTTTTTGTTGCCGAAATGGTACTATCTTGCCACCATCCATGGACCCAAGCAAGTCGACTTCAGTCTTCCAGCTTCAGGTTTTTAAAATGCCTCCAGATGTCAATCGCTCTCAGATCTCACCGCCCCAGAACTGGAAGATCAATGGCACACTCAACCCTGATTATCGATGTGGACCTCCTGTTAGGGTGAGCCCTAGCCAATTCCCTGATCCATCTGGCTTGCCATCAAATAAAACTGCAGTTGCCAGCTGGCAGGTGGTGTGTAATATCACCCAACCCAAGGGAGCAAGCCCTAGATGCTGTGTTTCATTTTCGGCCTACTACAATGATTCTGTTGTCCCTTGCAAAACTTGTGCATGTGGGTGCCCTAGTAATACTGCCCGTACTTGTAGTGCTACTGCTCCGGCTGTTCTTCTTCCACCACAGGCACTTCTTTTTCCTTATGAGAATCGGACTGCCATGTCTGTAGCTTGGTCTGCCCTCAAACATCGGGCTGTGCCAAACCCATTTCCATGTGCAGATAATTGTGGAGTTAGTATCAACTGGCACTTGTTTACTGATTATAACCGTGGATGGAGTGCAAGGATCACAATCTTCAACTGGCAAGAAATTCCATTCCCTGATTGGTTTGCTGCAGTGCAATTGGACAAAGCTGCTGCTGGTTTTGAAGCGATGTACTCGTTCAATGGGAGCTCATTGGAGTTGAATGGTGTCGACAACACCATATTAATGCAGGGGCTTCCAGGGTTGAACTATCTTGTGGCAGAAACTGATGGAGCCAACCCACAAAAGGATCCTAGGGTGCCTGGAAAACAACAGACTGTGGTCTCATTCACTAAGAAAAATATACCTGGACTAAATATTGCTGCTGGAGATGGGTTTCCTACAAAAGTGTTCTTCAATGGGGAAGAGTGCTCACTCCCTTCAATACACCCAACAAGCAACGGGAATGGAAAGGGATCAGCCATGATACTATCAATCCTCCTGGCAGCTGTGGTGTTCTTGTTGATACAGCAATAGTTGTTGGATGCGACACTGCTTGATTTTGTAGTGGCTTCTGATTCTTTTCATTCTTTCATTGCTTGACCAGGAGATTTGACATTTACCAGAATCACTGGAAGATATGTACGCCAGGCTTGGTATATAGAGGGCACTTGTTGATTTGATTGTATCTGGTAGGTTTACTGTTGTGTTCATCACATCTGAGTGGATATTATATACGACACTGTGACATCAATTTATAAAGCTAATGTACAATTTGATGACATTGGTAGCGATATTATTGAATATGATTGTTTGTTCAGTTTGATTTTTGCTGCTCCTTTATAAGTTGACATGACGCCTTGATTTCATTCTAGACTCTAGATACCTTTGGTACAGCAAAAACTATATATTGGTTCATATGCATCTTTTCTGTTTGTGTTCAGACTCTGGAGCTTCCATCTCATTTTCCAGAGAATGAATTGCTGCCTCCAGAAATTTGGTTTAGATCTCTTGGTTTGAATGCTTTTAGAGTTCATGAGAAACATATTTGCCAATGATCTCTTTCACTCGAAATTTCATTAAGCTCTTAAGAGTGTTGTGCGTTATTTTGGCTAGATGATAAGCAGTGGATTGTAGTGGCTGCTTTTCGCTTGCAGATCTTCCAATATTTGACAGCCTGCGTCTGTGAAACCTGGTCAATGTTTCTCAAGTGTGAAAAACGTTGGCTGATTAACTTTGTTTCTTCCAAAGAATCCATCGTCTACGTTCTTATTTTGATCCAAGTTCATCCCTTTACGTTCACACAGTGATGGTAGTTGCATATCACTATCTTTGATTTGTCAGCATTAAAAAACTGGAGAAGGATTCTGGCTACAACTGGGTTGAACTTCCATTGTCTAGGGCTAAGACCCTTTTTTTTTTTTTTTAATGACAAAAAACGTGGGCTTACTTATTTTGAATGCATGTTAGATAAATTTCAGATGGACACGTAGTCAGCTCACATGACTGTTTCTGGAGACGGAATTGGCTGGCCTAGAAAGATAGGAGGATCTTCGTACAACATGAAAAAAAAAAAAAGAAGCTAAAAGGGCCAAGCCTTTTTAAATTTTAGTATATTTGAAAATCGGTCTTTGAGTTTGTAATTTGTGCTTTGATATTTTTAAACTTTTTTTTAGATTTAATTTTGATATGATAAATTTTATTTTTTATTTTTTATTTTTAAAAAATAAAAATTACATAAATAGTTTCATGATAAAAATTATTCCGTGAGATTTATATAGAGCTTCCTAAAAATTTTGGGATCATTCTAAATTATTTTTTTATTTTTCATAATTTCTACATTTTTAATGTTAAAAAAATAAAAATAAATAAAAATTTCTGATCTTAAAAAAATAGATAGGATTTTTTTTTCTCAACGTGTGTGTAAAATTTCACATTAAAATACTAAGAATTGAATTTCTTAGAGGAGAGGAGTGATACCTGAAAATCATAGGATAGACTAAATCTTAAAAAAGAATATTAAGAAGCTAAAAATACAAATTAAAAAGTTCAAAAACTAATTTTTAAATGAACTAAAATTCAAGAGAGGTTTGAGCCTTTTAGGCCGTGAAAAATGAAGCTTGAACCATAATGTGATAGGATCTTATCTCATTTCTCAACCAATTAGACACTCTTCGGGTTAGGGTTAAAACTTTGTTGCACTTGCACCTAGAAACACTTAATGACTATTAGAATCAATTCAATATAACTAACTTAGTATTATGTTTTTTTTTTTTTTTAGTTTTTCATGGCTTTTAACTGAAAGTGGTCCTATTTTTAGGGATTAGTTAATCTAGGAATTAATGATTATGTTTATGTAATTTTCTTATCCTATTAAGTCTATCTAAGTGTATCTTTTGTTGTGTTTGCATTAAGAGAGTTTGAGTTCAATTAAAGTATTATTCAGAATTGTAAGGTTTGTGCTACCTCTTATTTTCTAAAAAGCAAGGTTAGAGCTAAGAGATTTTTCATTCAATTCCAAACACCTTAGTTCAGAGAGGTCAAACACTATCCTGACAACAAACGTATCGCATAATGTTCCCATATTAAGTGACATCAATTACCAATTTTGGTGTGAGAAGATGAAGACTCTCTTCAAGTCGTATGACTTATAGGACTCGATAGAAAATGGTCTTGGAGGTATATGGATCTTGATCAAGTCAGAAGACTGACAATTACTTAGCGTAATAAATTTAGAGCCAAGCAAAAGAAAGATGTCAAAGCCTTATTTATGATTCAACAAGCTTTGGATGATGTCATAGTCTCACGAATCTTGGCTACCACCACATCGAAAGGACCTTGGGACCTGTTCAAAGAAGAGTGTCAAGGCTTAAGTAAAATTGTGACAGTGAAGCTGGAAACTCTTAATCGAGAGTTTGAAAATTTGTAGATGAAAGTCTTCTGATTCAATCTAGGAATTCTTCACAAAAACCTCTTCAGTGGTAAATCAAATTTTAGTTTTTAGTGAAGAAATGAGAGATGAGAAAGTTGTTAAAAAAATTTTACGAAGCTTTCCATCCAGATTTGATCATATAATGGCTTACTGGCTGTAATAAAAGTGTCTAAGGATTTGCCCAGTTGCTCACTTCATAAGCTAATGGGGTCATTTTTATCACATTAATAGAGGTTAAGCAAAATGGAAAAAACTCCATTACATAATGTTCTTCAGTCAAAGTTGGATTTAAAGTTAAAGAGAGAGAGAGAGGACATGGTAGGGGACAAGGACGTAAAATAAAGAAGGATGATAGAAAGCCAATGGCTAGGTTAAGAACTTCAAATGAGGTAATGATATTGATTCTCAGTCGTGATCCTATTATGGTAAATCTAATCATATAGAAAAGGATTACTGGTTTAAAAATAAATTTGATCACAACAAAAATCTATAAGGTGTTATTATTATAATAGACTTGGCCATATTGCAAAGTATTTTTGTTTAAAAAAAAATGAAAAAGCGTTATTATGAAGAAAAAGAGGCTGTTAAAGATAATTTATTTGTTCTTGTTTGATGCTAATGTTGATATGTGAAAAGAAATTAGCATTTAAATAATGGTTACAGTAATCACATGGAAAAAAAAAACATGAGTTACTTTATGAAAATTGATGAGTTTTACAATTCACAAGTGACCATGGGCAACAACAACAAGTTTTAGGTGTGATATGAGTACGATTACTGTACAGTTAGAAGATGATAGGAAGCTTATTCATAATATTATTTACATTCCTAACTTATCTCATAATTTGAAAATAATTTATTATGTTGTTTTTGAGAACCTTGAATGCTTGATATATGATAAGAAAAGCATGGACTTGATTTATTTGGTTAAAATGACTAGTAACAAGATGTTTCCTATTGAGTTTTTTAGAGTTGCTCATGATGCTTTTAGTGCAGCAAATTGTGATTTCATGGTTTGGCATGAGAGGTATGGTTATTTGAATTTTGATAGATTGAATTTGTTGTAAAAAAGCAAAATATGGCCTAATACAAATGGTATTTTGAATAGAAGCCAGTATTTCATGATACTAGTTTATAATTTCTCATGGATGTAATGGGTTTATTTTTTTTAAAAAAAAAAAAATTTAAAGCATTTGAGTGCTTCAAGCAATTCAAGGTTGTAGTTGAAAAAGGAAAATGGTTATTCAATTATAACTTTGCATACCGATCATAGAGGAGAGTTCACATCAACAAAGTTCGGACTGTTTTGCAATGATTTTAGGATTTATAGAGCAAAACAACAAAATTTCATGAAGGCTATAAGAAGCATGCTGAAAGACATGGATCTTTTAAACAAGTTTTAAGTTGAAGCTATAGCAACGGTTTGTTCAATATGTTTCCAACTCTAGCAATCAAAGAGAGAACAACACCATAGTAAGCATGGAGTAGTAAAACGCCAAATGTGAGTCATTTCAAAAATTTTGGCTTTACTGTTTTTGCTTTTGTTCCATTAAAGGTGAGAAGGAAGTTGGACGATAAGAGCATCAAGTGTATTTTTATCGAATACAACAAGGCCACAAACTCTATGATCTTAGTTTCGAGAAATTAATTGTCATACGTGATGTTGTACTCAATGAAAATGACTCTAGAAATGAGATATTAGAGTTGCATAACCTATCATCTAGATGATGTTGAAACTATTTTTGAGCTAGTAGACCCTCCAATACCTCCTCTAATAGTGGACTCTACAATAGATCTCGCCTTCAAAAAGAGTAAGAAGTCTTGATGATGTTTATGCTTCTTGTGAGTCCGCTTGTTTTTCCATGAAACCAGCTTGTTTTGAGCATGTAGCGAAAAAGAAAGAATGTATGATGGCCATGAAAGAAGAGTTTGCTACCATTGAAAAGAATAAGACATGGATTTTGGTGGACCTATTTGAAGGGATGGTAGCAATTGTCTTAAAATAGGTTTACAGTGTCAAAGTTTAATCCATTCGAAACTTTAGAAGGAACAAAGAGTGGTTATTTGTAAAAGGATATGCATAAGTTCCAGTGTACTAATTTCTCGAAACTTTTTCTATATTAGCATAGTTTGAAACAATTAGGACAATTCTAGTTATGGCGACTCGTAATGGTTTATCAATCACACATAAAGTTAGCATTTTCTTAATGGCGATCATGTTGAAGCTCGTTTATGTAGAGTAGCCTAAAGGGTTTTATCATGAAAGGGACAGAGCATAAATTCTATAAATTGCACACAACACTCTATGGGCTCAAACAAGCTCCAAGGGCATGACATAACAAAATTTACACCTATTTTGCTCATACTAGTTTTCAAAAGAGTGCCGATGAACGCATCTTATATGTTAATAGTCATGACTGATTTTTTAGTTGTATGTTGATGATATGGTATATTGTGGAAGTTCTTCAAAAAATATTAGAGCATTTAAAAAGTCCATGATTCAAACTTTTGAAATGATTGACTTGGGTTCTTTGCATTATTTTATGGGCATAGAGGTTGTGTAAGAGAACTCTCAAATATGTGCAAGACACTTCAAATTTTAGCATCATATATGAAAAAGACAAGCCTAACAATATGATTGTATTCATTGATAGTGATTGGGCAAGCTCAATTGATGACCAAAAGAGCACAAGATGCTTTGGTTTCAGTCTTAGATCAAGATCCATCTCTTGGGCGTCAAAGAAGCTACTAAGCGCAACCTTGTCAAAGCACTAAAGCAGAGTATATTGCAGCTATAACTACAACTTATCAGGCAGTTTGGTTGAAAATAAATTTAGAGGATTTAAAGCTAAAGCAAGAAGGACCAACTATCATCTATTATAACGATAAATCCACAATAGCATTTTCCAATAATCCAATTTAGCAAGGCATGACAAAACATATTGAGACAAGACACCACTTCATTCAAGTGTTGGTTTTCTAAAGAAGGGATAGAGATGTTGTACTGGAACACTGAAGAACAACCAATAGATAAGTCTCACAAAAGATTTGGTGAAGAATAAGTTTAAAAAGTTTAGATGCATGACGAAAGTTACTGCTTGTTGAACTACGGAGAGGAACGTTAGAAGTAATTCAACATAACTGACCTGGTCTTATGTTTTTCTTAATTGTTCTTGATTTTTAGCTCAAAGTTATCTTATTTGTCTTAATTGTTCTTGAACCTCCTAAAATTTCAAGTACAAGAAAAAATCCAGAGAAAGACATACTCAGACTTGTGTCTAGAGCAATCAAATGGAATATGTACATCAAGGTCAATCCCTTAAATAATAAATATAAATAAAAAACAACGAGTTGAAAACAAAATCAAACTTGATCTATTATTAGAGTTAGAAAGGTTCCTAGAATTCTGCAGATGTCTAAGAAGTTGTTTCCAACTTTCCACAACTCAAGCCAATGGACTTCTCACGAGCACCCTAAAATTAGTTGCTTCGTGCTAGCTTTTCCAATCAAATGCGGACAAAATTTTGCAGGTATGCCTTCGCATGCCATGCAGTTGTATCTCATGAGCTTCCCAATTATCTTCCAGCGGGATTTATCCTTCTCGACTTCCATTTGCTGGAATTTTTTGTGTTCCCAAACTGAACCAGCAAGAACATGATATTCACAAAAGAAATGTGGCCAAGAGAAATCAAACAATCCTTTTTGGTTTTTTAACAAAACACTGACTTGAATCGCCACCCTCTGGTTGCAGAGAGAGAAATCAAATTCATCTGTAGCAGCAGATATGTACATTAGAAACTGCAATATCTAAGAGAACTGAGCATGGGGTATGTCCTACACAGGAATATTATCCAGGGAATACCCATCGAAGTCGAATTCATTTTCAGCTGGTCCAATGCCTCCCTGCTGCTGCTGCTGTTGCTGCAAAGGAAGAAAATTAGGCACAAATATTTAGAAACCTTGGTAATTGAAATCGAAGGCAACTTTCCAAAACACAACATTTATAATTAATATAGAGACAGGAGCCAACTTGTTTCAGAAGCGCACTCATGAGATCTTCCTGACCAAACTGATCATTAAAGAGGGCAGTTTGAGAGTTTGCATCAGGGACCCTTTCTGTCTTAACTCTCACTGCATTCTCAGCAAAAAAGGTGTTGATAGGTTGTCCAAGCCTTTGTGCATTCACATGCTCCGTTGCATCTCCTGCTGAAAACATCGGCTTGCCTACAGCAGATATATTCCGGCTCTGTCCGTTACTTTGGGTAGAAGAGAAGCCTTGATGAGCTAAAACTGATGGTGCCACGTCAATGTTGCTATGCAGAGAGTTGGATCGCTGAGAACCATTGAAGGCCATGCCTACGTTCTGTAACTCCCAATCATGGGATCTGTGCTGTTGCAAGTCACTAAAAATATCATAACTTGGCATGAATCCTCCAGATCCTTTCATTTCTGAGTTAATCTCTTCCTGAAACGTCCCCTTGGATGTGAGACTAGGCACTCCAGTAGCACTTCCAAGAGGAAAACTAGTGGCTGTCAATTCAGCTGTGGTGTTCAAGGGGAAATTCAACATTGGAGATGATTGTGAAACTGGATTAAATCCTGTTCCCCTGCCATTTTCAGCTAATCCATTTCTTGCCAAGACCCCACTGGTAAGTGCAGTAGTGACAATAGGCTGCCCTATGGATGACGGGAGTCGGGAAGCATGGCTGCTGGTAGTTTCATTTAGTATCTGGCCCCTAGACTGCTGTTGGGACATCTGCATCAGCAAAGAACCACTCTGACCACTCTGACCTCCAAGGGCATTGAGTTGCATATTCATGCTCCCGAGGGACTGTGCTGAATGGTGCAAGTTGGCTAGCTGCTTCGGCTCCATGGTGGTTGGGATTCCATGAAGTAGGTTCATTTGCTTACCATTGTTCAAATGTTGCTGTGGCCCCTCCCCAAATCTTAATTTTGGATTTTCAAAGCTGAAAAGGTTCCTCTGATCAACAATTGGCATGGGCATTCTAGGTTTTGCTGTTGATCCACCAAGTCCGGCTGCTTGCAGTGTGGCAAGGCTTTGTGCAGGGAGTTGACCAGCAGCAGCAAGAGTTTGAAGGTCGAGGCCATTAAGCGAGGACAATGCTCCATATGTTGCTTCTTGTGGGCTGATAAAAGAGTTGCCCATGCTGTTCTGGTGCTGTGAAACCCCACTTAACCTTCTAAGATACAAGCGATATTTCTGCACCATACAGTTGGATAGTGAGCAAAAATGAGAGGGGAAGGTTAAGCCACGAGAGATGTGTATGAATTAAACTAGAACAGACAAGAAATCATGGAAAATAATGGAAACATATACATAATATTCTACAGGAAACATTCCATGCTAAGCAAATTTGTCCCATACCTGAAGGTGGCTAGCAACATTTTCTCTAGTGAGCCCAGGAACATTCATCAACTCCAGAATTTTCTTGGGAACAGCCTCTGCATCCACATAAGAAAAACAAACATATAAGAGGGCAAAATATTGGAAGTAAATTTACAGAGTCCAATAGAGACAACTATGAAAATATAAGGTTCGACATAAAGTCAAATTACATTTGGGTGACAGGATTGAATTAAAAAAAAAAAACATCAAGGCGCAGCATGGAGAGCTGTAAGTGATGCCAACGTAACACATATGTAGTCAAAACTATGAGTTGATTGTGAGCAAAAAGAAGACCCAAAAACATGATCATGGCTTACACTTCCCCCAAGACTGTTCTCCCAATATCTATGTATACTGCTTCTCTAAACACAAGTTACTGCATTTAGGAGCATGTAAATAAGGAAGCAAAGTAGTATTAGCTATTGAAAGATATGGTTAGGATACTTACTGTCGATTCCTAGTTGATTAACTGCTGCAACAAACTGTTGGTGAAGTTCAACTGACCAAACCACACGTGGTTTCTTTAACGTGGATGTATCATCCCTCTCCTCTGCTTCTTCTTCCTCATCTTTTCTCCTCTTTGAATTTTTCCAACTTCCTTCATTTGCTGAGGATGAGTAATCTGCATCTTCAGATTGTTTCTGCTGCCTATCTCCTCCCTCTTCGACACTCCCTGATTGCTCCAAATCCTTCCATTCGTTCTTTCTCTTCCGAACCACATGCTGCCATATGTTCTTCAGTGCCTCAATGCGAATCGGTTTAATCAGGTAATCACAAGCACCATGAGTTACACCTTTCATGACCACATTTTTCCCATCGTCAGCTGACATCACTGCACAGTTCATAAATTATGCACAAGATATCGCATCAATGTCAACTCTTTAATAAGATAGACGTTAAATCCATCCGAAGCAACTGAGACAGGAAACTTACTGATAACGGGCAGATCCATCTCTAGCCCAATGTGCTCAAGAAGTTTAAATCCATCCATGTCTGGCATGTGGACATCACTTATAACAATATCATACCCGTTTTTGTTCTCTCGAAGTAAAGACAACGCGATCTCTGCTCGATTGCACTTTGTAACTGAAATTCCCACACAGACTAAATCAATCAAAAATATCTTTTAGCACACACCCACAGACTGCACAGGAAGTTTACTAATCAGTCACCAAGAGGTAAGCATCAGACATGATAAATTCAAACAAATCTCCAAGACAAGAGGAGTAATACCATCCAAATTCCTAAAATCTTAAACCAAGTTTAGAACTTCAATTCATAACATAATGATAGCACAGATGTGACACCACCCCTCAAATCTAAACACTGCTACATATCTTCACAAGCAAAATCACAAGTAAAAGGAGAAATGACCATTTATATGTCACATACAAATCATAACACGCCCAAAATGAAACCAAATTCATGTCTCCAACACCAAAAACAACAAATTAAAAAAAAAAAAAACTTAATCTTTGGAAGTATAATTCAAATGAATCTCCATAAATACCTTCATAAAGGCAGGTCCTAAGCATCTTCTCCAAGATCACAAGGCATGTTGGATCATCATCAACAACCAACACACGTAACCCTGCCGGAAACTGATCGGAAACACCACCAGAACTAGCTGTTGACATTGATCCTTTACAGTTGTTAAGATTCAACATAGCTGCAAGCAAAAACTTTGATCTCCAAACCAGCAACTAGAGACACTAAATTCACATGTTCGAAAGACTTCAACTTTGCATAGGAAAAAAAAAAAAACTAAAACAACCCAGTTGAGAAACACTAGAATTTGAGGTAAAGAAGGGAAGTTTTGGATTATTAGAAGAGAAACAAGAAAAAAAAATGTAAAATTGATTAGAAAAGAGACATGGCTTGTAGTGTATGCTCAGCTTCTTGAATTCAAGCTGTAAAATTTTTCTCTGCTTTCTTTCAGTATTAATAATTTTTTATTTTAATTAAAGATTATTTTATTCAAAAGTGGGTCAGTCCTTGAAGAGTGGATCCAGCTCACACTTGAAGTTAACTAACTCCACCGCGTATCTAAATCTACTCTAACAGAAAACACCTACAGTTAAAGTTGTTTTTTTTTTTTTTCTTTTTTACTGTTGTTCTGTGTTCGTGTCTTTTCTTTTTGCTGTGGATAAAACTTCTCTTCTTCGGTGGGTCAATTTTTGTTCAAATTTTTTTGCACAAATTTGAAAATTCGTTGCGAATGTTAGCCAGTCCATTCGGGTTTACTTGAAATGGAGGAGTCATTGTTTATCCATTTTATTGAAATTAATTCAAATTATTCGAGACAAAATAAATCTCTTCTTCAAATTTCAAGTCAAAATAACAACTACCTAATCAAATATTAGTTTCAAAATATGCACAATCTATTTTTAATTTAAATATACTGCTCTTCTCTCTCCCATTTTCAAAAAAAATATTACTTATTATATCTTTTTTTAAATATTATTTTGATTTAAAATAGAAGTTGTGTATTTTTAAAAAACTTTTCAAAAATACCCCTAATTAAATTCTATTTTGTATAAGATTGATTAGATATAGTTATTAAAAAAAGGTAATAAATAAATGGAATGCAATAAATTTTACTTTGTTCTCTAATGGTATAAACGGAATGCCCTTGAGTGACCACATTAATGTGTTGGAATGTCTTCACTATACTTCAATCCAAAAGTGTTCAATTTGAGAATGTCAACACAATTAAAGTCAGCCACTTCATCAATGTGCTATCAGTTGCAATTTTTCGCTTCTTGCATGATCATAACATTTGAACTACTTGTAGAAACATGTAACTACCTTTTTTTTCTTCTCCTATATTGAGATATTTATTTACCTAATTATAGATTACAGGACCTTTTAATTAAATCTCTAATTTCATTTTTAAGCATGATTTATTGTCAATCATCTCGAATTGTTCCTTAAAAACAAAAATTAAAAGCAATAAGATATATTTAAATTAACTTTTGTATCAACTAAAATTAAATTCATTATCATCCTGTCGAGTCACATTAGCTTCGAATTAGAGTTATTTTTAATTGATTTTAGAAGTTCAATTTTTTAAACTCATTAACAATTCATGTCTAACACAACATAAAAAATAAAAATAAAAATTCTAAAAATTAGAATTTAAACACTAAACCTAACGAATCAAAAATACTTTACTTATGACTGAACTTTTATAATTAACTACATTTTCTTATGCATGTATAGGAGCGAAAAATATAAATCGAACAAGAAGGGAAAATATTGAATCTATTTTGATCGACACTTGGTGGATGTAGAAGATGAAGATGGTGATATTTTCATGTTTCAAAGCAATGTTTGGCACGGCTACAAACCACTTGCATTGTGGGTTGGTTTAGGCTTCCACTTTCAAGTTCCAACAGTGGCCATTTCCCAAATTCACTTACGTACTTGTCGCTTTTTTCCTTTTTTAAGTTTTCTTTGAACAAAAGCTTTCCGCTATTTGTCATTCTTTATTTTCGTAAAAAAAGGTGAAAACAACCAACTGGTCCTTGCTGATTCCCGTGACAGCGTCACAAAAACGGAGCTGAACCAGTCCGATATATATTTCCTAAACTACAATACTACCCTATAATTTCACAAACATTTCATTTCAGCCTTTATATTTGCTAATTCTATTGCTTCTTAAAAGTTCTAATACAACTCTCTACCAACGTATCCAACGTTTATCTTCTTTGAAGATTTTTATAACTTTTTCTCTCGAAACATTAAACATTGATTAACAAAACAAATATATATATATATTTTTTTTTCAAAAAATGGGATCACTGAGAAATTTTGAACTATAAGAACCAAAAAGGAACATAAATATTAGAATGGATTCCACTGCTTTAACTTGTGTTCTTCTTTTTAAAGCCTAACCTTCTGATGGTAACTCTTCATCACTTTTACCTGTGCCAAGTTCCTCTCTATGATTTTATTTTCATGTCATCTGCAATTTCACTTCACCACACCCTGCCCCCAAATGACAAGTGTCCTTTGCCATCGCAGGGTTAGATAAGGTCTCTTTGGCTTATATTGTTTCCTCAGTTTTTTTTTTTTTTTTTGGTTTCCACACTCATCCAGCTCCAAGCATTTTTTGGCCTTTTATGTTGTGCCCATTTTTAGTGATCTTTATTTTTCTTCTTCTTCTTCTTCTTTTTTTCTTTTTTTTCCCCCATAATTTTGCATAGGGTAACTGATGTGGTTTGCCTTCTTAAACGAAAAGGACTACCTCTATGATTTGGTATTATAAGCAAATCCTTTCTGCCTTAACTTGGCAAAGCTTCACCATTTATTTGTTTTGTTATCTTACATTTGTTATGTATCATACCTGGTACCAATAAGAAAAATCAATCATTAAATATAGCATGTAGAGCGATAGGAATAATATTTCTTACTCGTTAAATTAGAAATTCAATTCTCAATTTTTAACAACTGAGATTGAACAAAAACTGTTCATGAAATTAAAGAGTTCGATTTTTAAAATTGATAAAGACTAGACATAATCAAATGTTGTCTTAACTCAAAAAATAATGAATTTTAGTCTCGATTGATATAAAAATTAGTTCGACTATATTCCATCATATATATATATATATATATAGAAGAAGAAGTGTGTAATTTTGGTATGCTTAATGTCAATTTCGATTACACCACTGAGTTTAAATACAATAGCAAAAAAGAATTATTAATTTAAAATACAAGGGTATATTAGACATTGGAGTTATATTTTATCAACCCCTTTTATTTTAATAGTTAAGATATTTGGCTAAAAGATTTTTCTTATTATTATTTTAATATATATATTCACTGTGATAATAAAAATAATACATATTTACACGGAATCTCAAGTAAAGCATATTTACAAGATATAATTAATTAATTAGTTAATCAAATTACTAGTGCTCAAAGCAGAAGAAATTGATTCGAAAAGCAAGAGATGTTGAACAGAAAAATGTCAATCTTTTTATCAAGCAAAGTACACATTAGTCTCTCTATTTTTAAAAAACAAATTAATTAATTTTTTATTTCAAAAACTAACTATTTAGTCTAATAATATGTGTCGATCACTCTTAATTCAATGTTATTTAATTTTTTTAAAACGGTATTTTTCTCATTAATACTTTCATTTTTTTTTCTATTTCTTAAAAAATAATAAATAAAAAAAATAAGTTATAAGAATATTTAAAAATATAAAAATTAAATAATTAGTTTTTGAAATGAATGGGACTAATTAGTTCATTTCTCAACAATAAAATGACTAATTTATAATTTACTCTCTTTTTATCATATGATGTTGGATTGAGCATGCTAGTTAAATTAGTAAAATAGACAATGATTTTGGTTTTATCCACTTTTTTTTTGGGTTTTTTTTGGGGGGTAAAAAATATGGATACTAGCTATCGATTGCTTTTTTTACTGCAAGAAAAGCCGTGATCTGACTAAAGTAGGGCATACTGCAAACGTATATTCTCTGCGACCTTTTATCTTTTACGATGAATATATGTATTTGTCATTCACTTTCACTGTAAAAAAGTGAATTGTTTTCGATTTTAATAACCCTTTGAAGCTTCAAAACCCAATAAAAATAGGCAGCAGATTTTACAAATCTTGTAAAGCTAAAACAAAGTGATTTAATAATAAATAGTTTATTAGTTTATGGTTTTAGCTTTTTACACAAGAGATGCTTTTAAGGGAAATCGAATATTATTGTGTGTGTAACTGCGCAGCATTATCTTTCACGCGCGCATTCAATTATGTCACACTCTCTTCTCTTCTTAACCCAGGCTAAAGGTTGGGGTGGGTTTCAGGTGATTGGACCTGAGACACGTGGCATCTCATGGAAGTTGGAGAAAAGTCCATGTAACTTTTTGCCAACCTTTCTTTTTCCCCTCTTTGAATGATGAGTACCATTCTAAGCACCTTTTGTTTGGAGATTTTGAGAATAGAAAAGGGGGAGTAAATTATACTGAGTAATTAGAGTCGTTGAGGTGGTAGGGATGGTAAATGGTAATTTCACTCCACCACTTAGACATTCCGTGCTATCTAATTCCGTTTTATTGGAGTCAAATCAGAAACAGATAAAATCCGATGGGAGGTTTATCGGCCGTCATAACTTGGTTTTTTAACCTTTTTTTTTTATATAGAATAAAATTCATGAAATTTTCATGGAGAATTTTTATATTTTTATGGCTAGATTTCCAATTTAAACTTGGTTTTTTGGTTTATAGATTTCTAATTTTAAATTTGATTTTTGTAGGATTATAAACTCTATCTCATTTTTTTAATTACTTTGTTTCAACATTTCAAAACTATCAACTTTTGACAAAGCTAAATTATATAGAAAATTTCAATGCCACCGACTCAATTGCATGAATATACATCCAAACATATTTTTTAGTTCTTTTTTAAAAAATAAATAAAAACATCCAATAAATTTACCAGAACAAAAATCAACCGAGTCTCTTTCCATTTTGTTGTTTCCTATCACAGATAAGGTTGAAGTACAAATGGGCCTCCATTGTATACGCCTGATGCATGATCCCCAAATCTACACCAAGGATCCAGCTATTCTCAACAAATCAATAATAATTTAATGAGTTAGCTACGTGGTTACAGAGTTTTTTTTTTTTTTTTTTTAATTCTTTTA